CCCCAAAACCCCAAAACCCCAAAACCCCAAAACCCCTTAAAAATAGTCCTCTATGGAAAAACTTAAATAAATTACTATAGTTTAATAATATTACATCACAAAAATGAAATCTATTACAAAAATCTCCTTTGACGAGAACATCTCTGACGAATTTCTTAGCGAAGATGTTTACTCATGCAAGATCCCCAGCTCTGCTAAAATCTTGGAGAATATGAGCTACAAATCAATGAGCACTAGGAAGCAGGCAGAAGAGAAGTTTAAATTTAACCCAGTAGAGACTTACTCATATTTGCATCTTCACAAGAATCTTCCTCAAAAGCTTAAGGATAAAAAGCCTAGACTTAACTCTTATTGTGAAGAAATTAAGAGTGAAGCTATGAGTAGACCACAAGATCTCTGCAAAAGTACTGAGAAACAAAAACAGAGACACTCTCTGAAGCAAGAGATAAGTAACCTCTTAAAGATTGCTGCTGAAATCAGAAGCAACGAGAAGTCTAAGGGCAAATTTACTGAACAGGAGTATGATGAACCGCTCAGGAAAAGAAGAGAGGCCCCTAGTCAGGACAATATCACAATGAGGGATATTCCCCCATCTGTTAAATAATCTGCTGCTAACATAATTCTTGGATAAAAAGTAACTTGATTTAGCTCTCTGGTTGGCTATAATTAGTTTTAGATTCTCCTCAGAGCTGTGGAGGATAGCAGTAGGTAATTTTAGATTCTTTTGTCATGTTAATACTTTATTAGATAAATGAAGCTTTGAGCAAGAATATTGGAGTTATGCCTCTTTTTAGCAATTCATAGATATATGATAGCCTTTAAAATTTCTTAAAATTCCAAGAGCTGCTAGATAATTTCGTGATCCTTAAAAATTTAGTCTTTCTAGCCAACTTAACTTCGCAGCGAAAATTGAAAATAAAATTTATTGATATCATATTGCAAAAGAAATATGACACAACCATGGCTATCTAAATTATGATTTTAGTATAGTTAAAAATTCTTTGTGAATGTTCTAAGAATTATTCGCATATTTATGAGTCTCAAATTTACTCCCATGATTAATCATATTTTCTGCTGTTTAATGCCATACCTGGAAATGCACACATTTATAAAAAAAAATTCCGCGAATATTCGGATCTGGGTGAAATTTTATCTCTTTGTAAGACTCCCAAAATTGTCTCTTTCTAAAAAGTCTCTTTTAATATTCTACCTAATAAAAGAAGTTTTCATAATTCTATTAAGTTATTTATGAAATTCTATTGATTAATACACCAGAAATCTTGAAGATCAAAATAAAATATGTACTAAATTTTGCACAGTATTTTTTAAGCAGACTGAAACCATTGGTAAACTTTGAATGTAGAAGAGACAGATCAAGAGCTTAATGAATAGCAAGTTAATTGCTGCATTACAACCTTCCTAATGAACCTTGATATCCTACCATACCATTTCAAGTAATATACTTCCATAAAATATAAGTTAAAAGTCAATTTTTTAATTCTTGCTTATCAAATTACATTCAAATTAGGAGTTTCTATTACGAAGAAGAGCAAACACTTAATTCTTACTTGACTCTGTCTTGTTTAAAGAAGGACCCACCTGGGTAGTATCAGAAGCTTCTAAACCAAGAAGGAACAGTTTCGTAATTAAGGGCATGTAAATGAAGCAGAAGAGACACTAAGTTATGAAAGCTAGAATTTGATTAATTACCCCACAAGGAAATCTCTTCACTCAATGAAGGAGATATATTAAACCAAATTTATGAGCAGTTGAGGGTTTCTTAACAATTAAATATAGTTATTCACGTTTATTTAAGTCAATTAAAAATAAACTAACTTTCAACAATATTTTAATGCCCTGGGGTTTTGGGGTTTTGGGGTTTTGGGG